TCATCTGCCCAATAGTTTCATTAGAAAGAGCAGAAAATTCTGCACAAAATCAAATATGAACCATCACGAAAAAGTACATATAGGGCGAAGTTATGATGACTGAATATTCAGTCATCATAACTTCGCCCTATATGTACTTTTTCGTGATGGTTCATATTTGATTTTGTGCAGAATTTTCTGCTCTTTCTAATGAAACTATTGGGCAGATGATACGAAAGAATTTTTGTTATGATATGTCTGAAAAGACACTAGCATAATAGGGGAAGAAATGAGTGCAATTACCGGATAGTATTGGCCATCGGAAACCTTTCATATGGTTCCAGATTGATTTGAGTTTGGTGTAGAAAGATTCTCAGTCTCATTCTGCATCGTTTTTGGTATTTATCAAGCTGATTTGGAAATGGGCCGATTTACGGTCTTATACGCCCCGTCCTTTGATGCTCTGTTTGAATATACCTTTGAAGTTTTCATTTGATTGATAGTTAGTTAGTTGTGAGAGAACACGTTTGAACGGATAAAAAAGTGACATACAGATAACATGATAAATCTTCTCTGCTGATTTATAATTCATTTCAACAATACTCAGGTATTGTTTGAAGTCTCTGTCTTGAGCAGATTTTAATGCTCTACAACATCATGGAATCTACGAAAAGAAAGCTCAAAACAGTCAAAACGAGAAAAGATTCTTTTGAGATGTCACTATTTACATAATTGGGTATTCTGTATAAAGAGATTTTAGCGAATTTTTGTATGAAATATAAGAAATGATTGAAAGCAAAATAAATCACGTATCTTATCGAACAAACTTCATTCGGCAAAAGTGTTGTATTAACAGTTCGATTTAAGCGATTTTAATCAAAACACAAAGCTGTAGTTCGTACGGTATCCTGTAAAAAAATTGTTTTCATTCCTTATCAAAGATTCGTCTCCAATAATTCGATCTCAGTTTACAAAATTACTCCAAACTTATGTTTAGAAAGCACATCAATTCACAGATTGCTTCTAAGGGGCTAGAAAAAGAACAAATATTTTGTGCTAAGACTTTGCAACAGGATTATGCATTAGGATATACAGTAAAAAAATGAAGTGATCATATTGCGATTTAAAACATTGTTTGTGGTGGAGTCTGATAATGCATGCGATTTTCTCAAGCATTCAAGTCTAAAAAAACGTTTTCTTTCCAAGATGTTAGTCTAAAGAGCCAGAAAATAGTGGAATATGGGGATGTATGCATCAAATTCAACTTCAGTAAAATTTATATCTAATTATATAGCTAGATTTCACCGGATTTGATTAGAGCTGAGTTTGGGCTCGGCAAGATTTGGATTTGAAGTTGATTATATTTAACTGGAATCGCTCGCAATATCGATTATGTTTAAATTCAAGCTTTCTTGAATTTCATTTCAATACGAACTGATAACAAACTAGAATGAATGAGGATATAACGTGTTCATAGAGCTCTCTGAATTTCTTCATGAAAAGACTTGAATACGATTAAATCTTGAATAGAATTTCATTTAGTTTTTCCAGAGTTGTGTTGGCGATCTCCTATTATTTAAAGACAATGTAGACTTGATTGGATTCGACAATCAAATCTGATCAAACTCAAACCGAAATGTGCTCGAATCTATTTCAAACCCAAATTAAGCCCCACTGAGCTCCGATCAAATATAAGAATTGGATTTGAATGGAACTCAACTTGGTACATACCTAAATATGGGCAGTTTTTAAGCGGCTTAACATTCTTAGAAAAGAATTCTATAGAGTTGAAATTTTGCGAATATTGAGCCGATTAGCAGATTTTTCTGTGGACAAAATTTCAGATCAAAACATGATGCTCCCTCTTTTTACGATATATTCTGTTATATGTCAACTATTTTAATCCTGAAATTTTCTTGCGTTCAATCAGCTGGTGTTTGAACCTATCCTGGTAATTAAAACATAAGGGATAAAAAGAACTTGCTGATTTAAAAGGAGCAATATCTTGTAACTTAGTTGGACATTGTGTGATTTTCGTCTTCTAAGAAGGCGAAAGAGCGACAAATATCATTCCTGCGTTCTGTATGGCATCAATTGAGTTAAAGCAGAATTGGAGTTTGTTTAATTGGACCAAAAGCAAAATGGGCTCGGTGAAAACGTTATTTTTACAGATTAATAATGTTTAAAAATTATACTTGTTTTCAAGGTTTTTCTCATAAAAATAAAATTTCTCCGCATTTTCTTTGAAGTATTGTGACGGATAGAAGTGAAAGCTCAAAAGATATTCTCGCAAACGTTGTATTTCTATTAGTTTGAACAATTCATTCCTGTTAAAAAAAAGTTTGGTTTTTATTCTAATCAACGTGCTTTTGTAAAGACTGGAGGAAACAGTTAATCTGATTTTAACTCTTTGTTGAAGTTTTAGAAAAATGTCTATAGGTTCTAGCGCAAGACCTATGAATATGACGGAAGGCTACGCGTAAGTGTCCTCCACTTTGAAGAAACTTACTAGTTGGATAATTCCCATTAAAGAATTCTCGTCAACATCATCTGCTTCAGTATTATCAACTAGTTGGTCATGTTTTCGCACATCTTCTCGAGCATAAAGACTTCGAAGCCAATTGGATACACTACAATAAGTCAAATAACTATGACGACGAATATCACATCGCGCTCATTGAATCATACCTGCCCGATAACGTTTGTTTACCGTCTTGATTACCATGATTTCCATCGTCACTACTGACGGCTGATTGCAATGATGTCTGTAGTAAAGGTTCTTTGTCGCTCATTGTATTTTTTTTCTCTGAAAAGTGTTTTACACATAGAAAACAGTTGTAAAGGAGAGGGATGTATCAGTGCCCATTTTCGCCCTTATCATTTTCACATTGCATCCACTTCCATACTTCACGCGTTAAAAGATTAGAAGTTACTTATCATTTTGATACTAAATATGAAGTACTTTCAGTGGGCTATAGGTGCACACTACACAACACCTATCTTCACTATGTATTAAATGCCTGGAAAAGCCATTCACCAGTGAGTACGGTTAGCCTCATTGTATAAGAAAAACAGTCAAAATATCTACTGATTCATTGAAGTCTCTGGATAGGCCATTGTTCAAGCTTCATTTTCATACCAGAATAGTTAGGTAAAATAATCTTTGTCCTGATTGCAGTCAATGCAAATGTTATAGTCTACTTAATAGTTGAGTGAAACATCGCTTTTGCGGATCAAATAGTGATTCAATAGAAGCAACGCCCCCTTTCTTCGATATCGTGGATGATAGAGCTTAAAAAGCTCTAAAGGGTGTCCCAGGAGTAATGAGCCTATCAGTGTTTTACCGACATCTGTGTCAAAATTTATTCATTCGGGGCAATTTTTTTTCAAGAAATTCGTCTTTTCATCCGCTACAAGAATCTATACTTCAAATTTTTATTCGTACGTATCTTTTACTCAGCATATAATGAAAAACAAAGATCTTCAACAAGTAGTTTTTCATAAATATGAAGATGGTGATAATCCTACCGAAATCTTTCGTGATTTAAATGGCACGTTAGGATTAGCCAGCTTGAAAAGATCGTGTAAGATTATCCGTGAAACCGGTTCTGTCCAGCTATTGAAACTACCTGGCTGTCCACGTTTTGCTCGAACTAGTAAAACGATTAAAAAAAGCAAGCACAAACTCGACCAGAAGAAGATGCTATCGGTTCGAAGTGTGACTAAGGATTATCCCATATCTGAATCAAGTGCACATCGAATATTAAGGGGAGACCTGAAACTTCATACCTACAAGATGACCATCGAACCAAACCTTACGGAAGAGCACAAAATCAAACGAGAAAAATTCGTTAATTAGAACGGTAATAATTTTCGAAAAGAGAACATGATGCGCATCTTGTTTTCGGATGAAAAAATGTTTGATCTCGACGGAATATATAATTTCCAAAATCAACGTATTTGGGCTGGTAAACCCCTCCCTGTAATAAAAAGCCCCCCTATTTTTTCAAAACCTTTTACAGAGTTTTTCGGGATTTTCATTTGCTTATTACCGTAAAATTTGAGGAAACAGTAGATTTTGAGGTAAAGAAGTAGTAATAACCCCCACAAAGCTTATGATCGCATACAAATCTGTCAAAAAACCCTAAAAACTTAGGTACCTAAAATTTTCAAAAAATGATGGGACATATTAGAAGCCCCCTGGAAAACCTTTTTACGCTTGCCAAGTTAGANAGGAAACAGTAGATTTTGAGGTAAAGAAGTAGTAATAACCGCCACAAAGCTTATGATCGCATACAAATCTGTCAAAAAACCCTAAAAACTTAGGTACCTAAAATTTTCAAAAAATGATGGGACATATTAGAAGCCCCCTGGAAAACCTTTTTACGCTTGCCAAGTTAGAGACCCCCGGGGGCTTCTATTACGGGGAGGGGTTTAGTCGAGATGAAGCAGATGAAAAGGGTGGTATCAAAATGAAACAGAAATTCCCGCAAAACGTTGCGGTCTGGGTAGGCGTTTGCTCCAAAGGAGTGACACCATTAGTCATTTTTTTACTACGGAACAATGGATCATGCTAGATATATCCAAAATGTTCTTCCTATCGCACTTGAATATGGAAATAAAACCTTCGGAGAGCATTGGACATTTCAACACGACGGTGCGAAACTTCACATCCATCACCTAACACAACAAGTAACGCGGTTCAGTAGCCCCTGACCCTCTACTGAAAGGATATCATCTAATAGTATCTATTTTTTAAAAGAAATGCTAGTTGGGTAAAGCGTTCTGCAACACTTTAACATGAAGACGAGAATGAAATTGCTGCAGAACTTTTTGCCTAACCAAACAACTAAAAACTATTTTATTTCGATGGTGCAATTATTCGATGATTTGCGTCTGTCTTTCACCCATATTCATTTGGTACCCTAAAATTTTCTCAGACAAACGCCTAGTCGTTCTTCGGTCTCCCTCTGGTCGGTCACTCACGGCTAGCCGTTAGTACATACTAGGCATGTGACAACTCAAGCTCAACAGCTCGTGTGAACTGAATTGAAGAACTGGCTCTCTATTTTCCGCTCAAATAAGCTGGAAATGAACTGTTTGTATGAAGCATAGAGCCTGTGCTGTGCGCGCTCAATAGTGGTCTCTACATAAGCATACGAGAATATGACAGCTTTGTGTTCTTGTTTCGCTTGTGTGGGTGGGCCGGATAATTTTTTTCAGGCAAAGCAATAAACGCATTTTCCGTGAAAAACGCTTATATTTTTACATTCATCTTAACATTTTAGTCAAAAATTCTTTTTAGAGGAAGGCGATTGTCCTCCATCCCCTCTAGCCCGCCAATGTTTCTCTGAGTTATTATTATATCCTGTTTTGTAAAAATTTCTTTATCTAATGTGCTAGATGTAAATCGCTTCATACTGTATTCTGAAAGAATTTTACTCGTTTTATTTGAAAAGCCACTGAAAATCATCAATGGTTGAATTTTATTTTTACTTATATGTCACGCGATGCTAATACATGATTAGCTAATCGAAAGAATGTATTTTCATGCTGGCGATACATTTTACACACCAAGTAAACCACATTGAACTTTCCAAGATTGGTTGGGATGCTTTAATTTCGATATTAAGTTAGTACTAGAGAGATAAACATTAGGTGTCTCGCAGCCTAGTCATATAAGAATTTAGGCATATCATATATATATAGGGTGTCCGTAAAGTTCTTAGAGTCAGAAAATGTTCACTATTTTTTTCATTCTTTATCTAAATGAGCTGATTTTTTTTCTGAGCATAGTAAGTGCATAGAAGCATCTATTCATCACAAAACAGGCCATTCATGAAAATAGAACACGCAAACTTTCTCTAATGGAATAAGTAAACTTTACAACAAGGATTTTTCCAAACTCTAAGGACTTTATGGGCACCCTATATATTGATATTATTAGTAAAGACCATAGGTCTCTATATAAGGTATACTGAACACTATTCATACATGGATTCATCGCATGAAAAATTTCAAAAAGAACTGGTGACTAGCTCCCGTTCAAATGAAAAGAACTGATCATTAGCTTCAATCCAAGCGAAAGAAATGTTCTCAGACAGCTCCAGTTCATTGACCGGAGATGGAGTTGTCACATATCGGGTACATACTAAATTCTTCTCATATTTTCATTGAAAAAAGTGTTCGATTCATACTGAGTTGTTCTGCAGTCGAAATTATCAAAAGTTTTCATAACTGTGTGATCCATCCTAGATATTTTATTGTTTTCTTAAATTCAAGAAGCTGGTAATTCGCATTGCTTACTCTCCAAGCTCGAAAAAACAGCAATTATGTTCTTTCAAAAAATGATGGACACTATCTTGACTCTTATATACCTTAACTTTCAAATAACTCTGAAGACAAACGCCTAGTTGTTCCTATGTCTACCTCCAATGTGCCATTCACTTTTGGTTGACTTTCAAAGTGAATAACTACGTTTTGTTTTGTTAGCGCTTCCGAGATGGTGATCTTCTATTCATTTGATTGTCAAACAACATAGACAAAAGGTTTTATTTTATGATTTGCCATGAAACGAGCACGCATCATAGTGCTTCATATGTTTAGACTGCTTTTTGTACAGTCGATTTTCTTATATACCTATTAAGATGGAACTCCACTAACGGGGTATATCTTTTGGTGACGTACTTTCGCTAAAATCTTAACAAAACACCTGACGTGTCGCAGTCGTTGCTAACGACGCGAAAGTGATTCTGCGCACATGCCATTTTCTCTGATTTCTGGAGTTATAAGTATCATAATACAATACGCATAAAATCTTGTCGTGTAAACTTCTAAACTATTATTTTCTCTCCCATCACATATTGGAATAGCGTTCAGCTCATTACCTTCCACAAAAGATTTTAAAAAAGACACAGAAAAATTTCTGCTTTGAAAAGAGAAAGGGAAAGATCAAAGACCGATGGGTAAGACAAAATTGACCTCAGATTCGAGCTCCTCGACTCCGATTACCCTTCGGTCAACCCTCACTATTATCAACTACCGCTAGGTAATATTGAAAGAAAACTGAATGAACGGACGAGCGAACATCAACTGGTTTTTTCGGTGATAACATCTCGACGCACTACCATCCTTTCAGTAGAGAGAAAAATGGTTTCAGGATAATTTTCTATCGTTCATAAATAAAGATCAATATCCACCGAATAGTCCAGACTAAAATCCATTGGACTATTACATCTGGGATGAGTTTGCGTAGCGTGTGAATTGGCAGAAAGTGACATTAAAATCCACATTAATTAATGAATTAAAGCGTGCTGTTAAAAAAATTTGACGTGATGTTATGTTACAAAGTTGTTCATCTTGAACTACTCGTTTACAGCGTGTATTAAAAAATAAAAATATGTCATTTTGTAGCGCTTGAAAAGCTCTATCGTTTGAAAGAAAAAATCCTAGAACGAATCAGATTTGATAAATATATCAGCAAAATACTGAGAGGCTCATTATTCCTGAGACACTCGTTATGAGTTTGGTACAGTTATAACACTAACCGAGACGGATCTGTGATGCTTTCTAGCTGTGCTACTTTTTCTCTGAACCATGTCGAAGGGTAGTCTCTCGTAACAAGACGAACGGTCATCACTGACGAAGTTGTCAGATATTTGTGATAATGCGCTAGAGATCTGATACCATCCATTTACTTTTACAATGAAGCTACGCTATCTTTTCCTCGAAGAGCATAGGATAACAAAGGTAATATGAAAATATGGACTGCCACAGTCAGCAAAAACTCACACCACATGTAAACATGACTTTGTCATCGTATAGTGCGAAATAGCGACACCAGTGCAGAGACTAACGAACAATTTCAAAGCATTACTGTAACTCTGATCTTGAGCGTACACTTTCATGGCCTTTCAAAATCGACAAGATAATTTAAGCAAAATATCCTTCTAAAGAAAACATTTCTAGATTGATTGATAAGCTATGTCATGACAATAGATGTTTAATCAGAGTATTTTCCTACATATACTTGAGGATGACACTAGAAACTCTCTATAGAGTTCAACTCGTCCAGGAATATATGTATAAATACAACTTTCAAGAGGTGATCGATAGCTAGCTCTTAAAGCTTCGAAACTACGTGTTAGCAGACAACGAAAGTCTCTATCGAGAAATGAACATCAGTAACGTGTGCAATTTGAGCAACTCGATGATTTGGCACCATCCATTCCAGTGTTTTCAGTTTACAATAGATCACTCTCGTTCGAATACATTCTTATCCAAAAACTAAATTTCAATAGGAAGTTTCTCAGAAAGCCATCGCAACCTGATACTCATACTTCGAAGTGAATAATTACCGCTCCTCTTGCAGGAAGTGTCTACCACCCAGCGTAGTTCGAAGCCGATATAGCACTGCTAGAAAGCATTATATGAGCACCTCTGATAACGCTGTAATCATACGAAACTAATACATATCTACTGATCATATGCATTTCGTCAACCCTAGTACGTCCATACTCTATTTTGCGTGCTCGAATCATCCTGCAATCATGCATTGCTACCATCTTATGTCGTTTCTTAACCCTTAGATACAATAAAATATCTTAATTCTATGAAATATAGTAGGAACCGATCTAAAAGCGACCTGTCTTTGGCAGACTGGGATTAAAATTACTTGCGAACGAGAAAAATTACCTTTTTTTTCAGGTCAATGGTTTATAGTAGGGATGGTCGTTCTCCGCCAAAGAAAGTCATTAAGAAAAACTAATACATACTTTCGTTTGCCATCCTCCAAGGAACAAAGTGGCATAAGATCGTAAGGCTTACCATGAATCTATCTCGAGTTAAAGTCTTTGCGAC